TTTGGAATGAAGTGAATTTTGAAAATCAAACCCAGGGGGATTTATATACGTGATAGGGAGGCTAAAGATAAGGCAAATTCATTTTAGATAACCCTAATCCTTTTGCTTTCCCCCTAAGGCATCCAAGCTTTTTTAGAGCCCAATAATACCTCTAGAATCCCTCTATAAACCCCCTCCCCTCATTGGAGGTTCTAGAATTGGTCAATGTTCAACTTTTGAACATTATCATCTTTAGTCCTTTCACTTTTAATTAATCCAATTATTTTCAATTAATTTTTGATTAGTTTTTAATTAAACAATACTATTTCTAATTAATATATTATTGTTATAATATATTAATAAATCATTTATTTTGATTTCTAATTAATTTATTAATCATATAATAAATTAATAAGTCAGTCTCTCTCTCCAAAAAAACATTCTAATCAATTACTAGGTTTGAGGACAACCCCAAAGGACTTTGCTAATAATTCAAGATTATACTAATTTAGTTATTGGCTTAGACACCTAATCCAACATAATTTAGATTAAGAATCTACTCATGCTTACATGCTAGAGTGACTACTTAGGAGATATGCCTTTTTGTGTGATATATGTCAGCTGTTAGAGATGCATGATAGTGTGTAGACCAAGGATCTTCAGGAATTGCATGGTAGGTAGGGCCGGCCTAAGCCCAGGACGAGGTGGGCCACGACCCAGGGCATCAGAATTTGAAGGGCAGCAGATTTGGTCAATTACTTATGGATATAGTAATTTAATATTGGGCCTAATGATCTGGTCCAACATTCTTATAGGCAAAGCGCACATCAGCGGCAAGGGTCGTCAAACTGAAAAATTGAACGCGTTGTATAGCGCCAATCACGAATCAGAACAGAAGACGAAGAGTCGATTTTCACGCAAAACATAAAATCGCAAAACGCAATTACAAATGTACGGTGAAGAAAAAAAATCAAATTTTACACAATCGGAAAACGAAACCTTGATTCGATTGACGATTGAATACGAAACGGAAACATCAAAACCCAATCTTTAGTGTGTGGAAAACACGAATACTCAATCACTGAATCACGGTTGCTTTTCTGGTAATTTTCGTTTTCTGATTTTGAGTATAAGAGTGTTTTCTGATTTTATATATTGTTTCAGATTTCTGATTTTGAGTATGCAATTGGGAAACCCAAATACTCAATCACAGTGCTTTTCTAATTTTATATATAGTTTCCTGATTTCATATAATTACATATTGTTTTGTGATTGTCGATAGCATGCTCGGATTTCTAATTGTGATTTTATATACTGATTATTGTTTTCTGGATTCATGATTTTATTTCTGATTTTTCAGATGTTTGGTTTTCAAGTTTTTTAGGTTTATCCTTCTTTGTGGGTATCCCTTCTTAATAAGGATTCTTGCTTCCAATTTTCCATCTATCTTAATTTGTTGGCCTTAAGTCTACATAATTCTTCAAAAAAGAAAAAGATAATAATAGGAAAAGATAGTGGCAAATAGCAAAAATGTAATATTTGGTTCACTGCATATTTTATTTTTTATGGAGTGGCGTTTTTATTTCATTCATGTTTACAAAATGAAATTCTCAAAGGATAGAAAATAATAGAGACTACTTGAATAATAAAATAGTTGAATGTTTAGATAATAATGTTTACTTATAATGAATATTAAGCTAATTTATTATGTATATTCGGTTTGGTTTGTTTTTTTTCTCGCAAAACCAAACTTATCCGCACAAATTTGGTTTTCCAAAAACCAAAAAGGTTCGGATCAGTTTTTCCTTCTTTGTAGGTTTTGATTTTGCTTATGTTCACCCTTAACCCAAATGTAATTTAATGCACCTTTTGCTGAATATTTAATTCACGTTTTATACGTCTTTACTTAAATAATATATGTATTTGCTTTAATTTCCACCTAGTATTGACTATCATTAGATAACAATTTTTCTTCAAAACAAAGACATTCTTTTAAGTGATTTTTGTACCTTTTTTGTTTGTAGTAATATGGATTTAGTGAACTATAAAATTTAGACAAATTTCGCAATTGGTCCCTGTGGTTTACAGAATATCGCACTTTGAGGACTTTCTAGCAAAAAGTCACGCGATTGGTCCCTGTGGTTTGTAAAATTACATGAAATGTCCTCCTGCCGTTAAATCTAACTTTTCAGCCGTTAAATTTTAATGGAAAAGACTATTTTGCCATTGTACCAATATTGCAATATACTACAAACCTCAAGGACCATTCGTGTAATTTTATAAATTTGAATTTTTTGTAATAATTTTAATTATTTATTATTCTTCTATTGTTTTTATTTATTTTGATTCAAGTAATGAAAAATAGAAAAACAAAAAACAAAAACTCAAACACCAAATTCTAATATACTCTAATATATACACTAGTTTATAACCCGTGAGAACCACAGTTATAAAATTAGTCAAATTTTCATATTAAAAAATCAAAATTTTTAATTAATTATTTTAAATAAATTATTAGTTAAGAGATATTTTTTAGTTATATAAAATTATAATCGTTGATTTAAATAAATACGTGAAGTTATATCACCTTATAATCCGTATTAATTTTATTTTATTTTTTAATCTAATGTTATTAATTTAATATAATTAGAGTGAAAAAAATTAAAATTTAAAATTTAAAATGGTGAATCAATTATTAATTTAATGTAATTTTAGTGGAAATTTAAAATTTGAAATTTGAAATTGATAATTAATAGGTTGACAAGTGGCATGATAAATGACATATAATATTAATGAGAAGTTCTAATAATATGACACTTGTCAATAGGAGAATAAACCTATTTATTTATTAGAATAGGATTTTACATTTTCATCCTTTTTTGGTTTTTTCATATTTTTTTTAAATTTTTTAGTATTATTATTTTTAATTTTTTCATATTATTTTTTAATTATTTCCCATTTTTATTTTTTTCGTGTTTTATTTTTCATCAACTTGATAACTTTTTTTAATCTTTTCCAAAAAGTGTAAAATGTATGAATATATTAGAGTATATTACAATTTTGGTGTTTGAGTTTTTTGGGTTTTTTTTTATAATTTTGGTTATTTATGGTTTTTGTAACTTTTTTATTTACATTCGCGTAAATAAAATAGTTATATTTACAAATATAAATAAAGAAAATAAACATAACTTTAATATTTACACAAATTAAAATAAAAAAAAATTACGAAAACCATTAATAACCAAAATTAATAAAAAAATGCGAAAAAAACCAAAAAAATATGAAATGTGTAAAATGTATTAATATATTAGAGTATTTTACAACTTTGGGGTTTGAGTTTTTGTTTTTCTATTTTTCATTATTTGAATCAAAATAAATAAAAACAATAGAAGAATAATAAATAACTAAATATATATAAAACACAACAAAATGTGAAATAATGATAAAGATAAATGCAAACATAAAGTTGCTAACGATATTAACTATAGAACATCAAAGTAAAATAAATAAATAAATAAATAAAATAAACCGTAACAACAAAAAATTAAAAAAAAAA